TATGTTTTAAAAAGTTTCAAAACTTGTCCTCAAGTTTTGGAGTTTAAATTGTTTGATTAAAAGGTTTAATTTTGAAAAAGTCAAAATTCTAAAACCCTAATTTTGAAAAGTTCAAATTACACCTTTATGGTTTTATTAAATTAATTAAGTGTATAATTAAAAGAGAGTTAATAAATCCATAATGATATGATTTATATTTAATTAAATTAAAAGTGTAATTTATAAAATTAAACCACCTAGTATTTTAAAAGTGTAAAATACACCCTTATACTACGTATAACATTAAAAGTCTAATATTATATATGTATAACTTAAATGCTAGTCTTACCGTTAGTAGGCCTCATTCACGAAGCCGATCTATAAGGGGGGGTATAAGGTTATGGCCTATAAAATGGCCATTTAATGGGTTTCCACTCTCACCCACCGCTTCCTTGATTGGTGGAGGGTCGTTAGCCGAACGGGTAGGATAGGGCAAACCCTTTCCATTAAAAGTTTAATGAAGTATAAAGTAACTAAATGTTTTTACAAAATTCCTAATCTTAGTTACTTTAGGAAAAAGTGAATTGATGCAATTCCATGAAATTACACTTTGTGCCCTTGCGAAGACGTTAGTGGAGCGCGTGTGGTTAACCGGCACACTAAATGGTTCTAAGCAAAGGTAGCAAAGGGTGACTCAATGTTTGTCATAGTTCGGTGGAGCGTGTGTGGTTAACCGGCACATCGAATAGGTGACGGTAAAATTAGGGGCACCATGTAAGTTTGCATGGTTATTCACACCTTGTTTTGTGATCCTCGGCATCCCAGTCACAAATCGAGGGACATGTCGAGATTTAAACATGCCATTGAAAGGTTCAATGAATCTCAAAAGATCTAGGACTTTTCAATACATTTAAAACTTAAGTTTCCTTTTCATTTTTCATGGTGGAAATTGGTAAATCGTCATTTACCTACCTTCAAATATTCTGCAACTAGATTACGGCATCCCTCTTCTAGGTTGTAGAGTATTGTGTTGGATCCTAGCCTTGATGTTTTATTTGGGTGTCACATAAAGGATTTGAATCAACTTAACTTGTATTTTCTCCCGTTTTGTAGATGTCAAAGTATGACAGTTATGGTCTTCCCAAATCCCGTGGAACAAGCTTTCCACATGAAGATGATATTCCGCGATATGATCGAGGAACAAGAGATCATGCTTCACTTCCTCCACCTCCTCTAATTATTTTTCCTAACCCACAAGTTCGTAGCCTTCAAAATTTCAAACTCACTCAAGCCCTTTTGGCAAGTAAACATGAAGATGGGAAACCTGTGTGTGCATACGTCTTAGAGATGAAGTCACACATTGATAGGTTAAGGATGTTGGGTGTTGAGATTTCAGGCGAGTTGGCTGTCGATTGGGTTCTTCAGTCACTTCCTGAATCATATAGTGAGTTCATTAGAGAGTACTATATGATGCATCAAGACGTGACCCTCATTGATCTCACCTATTTGCTTATAGCTGCTGAATCAGCAATGATTTGGCGTGCTGGTCAAGCAAATTTGTCTGGTGAGTCAAACTCCCAAACCGCAGTGGGCACTGGCAACATCGGAAGTCCAGAAAGAACTAAGTCTATGATTGTCCGATGTGCTGTGCCAAGGGAGTCCATTTGCTTTTATTTCCAAGATAAGGGGCATTGGAGACGAAGCTACCCTAACTACCTAAGAAATCTAAGAGATGGGAGAGTCAAGATGCATGGCTCTACTTCAGGTAAAATCCATTAACTAACTCTTTTAAGTTCCTATTCTAGATTCTTAATACATGATGTAATAAGATTACATTTTTGATGTTTTATAGGATCAAAGAAAAGAGAGGAAGCTTAAGGGAAGAAGTGAGCTGAATCTAATCGAGAAGAAATGGATTTTGATCACATTGCTTGAAGATTAGAATTTTGAGCTACCACTTGGAGTTAGAATAGATTGCTATGAAATATGTATTAACATAGTTTTCAATTGAATTGCATTGTAAGGACAAATTTTTCCGCAATAAAATAAATTTTGATTTTATATTATTTATTTATCCTTGCAATGGCGTGTATGAAAAATTGATGTTTGAATGTTTCAGTTATTAGCAATAATGGATTATGTTATTTGTGGAAATGTCAAGAATTTACCAAATAGGGAGAGTTTCTCATCACCCAAGTTTCAATTGGATAGAGACTTGGAATCATGCAACTTGGTTGCATGATGAATGAGAAATTTTATATTTGGAAATTAGACTATTTCTTTGATAAAATGTCAAGTGAAGGACTAGGAGATCGAGTACACAAAGTTGTGTGTTGATCAAGTCCACCACAAGAGTGACAAAGATATTCATCATGATTTACTAAAGGATTAGTAAATATGATTATACTTATAAGATTAAGTGTAATTCTGAGTTGATTGAAAGAGTTTCAATCAATAGCAGAACAGATAAGAAGAATCAAGTAAGCAGAAAGATAAAAGTTTCTCTATTTTAAGAAGAAGGGAGAGTACCTTTTATTGTGTTTTATGATAGGTCTTAATGATTAAGAACCATATCTCAATTGATCCTCTAAATGAGTCTTAGTACAATTGTATGTCTGAGAAGAGGAATCAAGAATTGAAGAAATGGTTAAATCAAGAAGTCAATCATACTTTGTTCCAAAAACAAGTCTTAGAGTTAAGATTGTGACATTGAGTGAAAAGTCTTAAGAAGGTTTATAACATTCATCAAATGTGGAAAGTTATGATGTCTTGGATATGACAAAGACCAACTAGGACCAATTTTGTGAAGTGTTTTGTCTTGATAAAAGCTACACTAACTCTTGAATATTTGTTTGTCGAGAAATGTTTATTGACAAGAGAATCTTATATGTCAAGGAGTCAGTGGGAGTCTTAATGGTATTGAAAATTTTCAAAAATTAATCAACAATAAACTTATTGATCATCACTAGCATACGACTTGAGGTTCACAACCAATCGTGTTGACACTATCTTGTTTCTGTGTCGTTCCAATTGAGTTAATTATACATGTGAGTTCTATGAGTTCTCATTTAAATTCATAAACGGTAAGAACCTTGATCAATGAAAAGTACATTGATAGGAAAGGATGAGTTGCTTAACTACTTGGAAGACATGGTGGGCACTCATGTTACCATAAGTCAAGAAAGCAAGATTGAGAAAGTTCGGTCCATATGAGTTTGGATTTGTCGCAAACTTTAGTTTTGAAAAATTCGCATGGATAGGAACACATACACCATCAAAATCTAAGTGTCATAAGATTCCATCCTGCATGAAAATGACTGTTAGGAAATTCTATCACTAAGAGAGATTTTAAGAAGATAGTGATTGTGAAAATTGTATTCTCGAATTCGATTATGGTTACGGTATCCCTTTCCATGATTCGAATTTTTAGATTTGGCAATTTGTCTGAATTGTTTAGACACACATATGAGTTATCTAAGGCAAAGGTGTATATGTTTGAGAAACTTAGATAAAGGATTATCAAAGCATTAGGTATTAGAAATATGAACTTAAGAAATTCAATAGGTATTGTTTTCTGGAAGTTAAGTTGTTTTCTGAATACATGTCACAGCTAGTGGGAGCATAAGTGTTATGCTTATACGATAATAATCATCATGATAGTGGGAGCATAAATGTTATGCTTGTATGATTATTATGGCAAGTATTGCAAGTTAGCAATATTAATTATAGAAAACAAGAGTTATACTTTGCAAAGTCGTAAGGGTTGAAAAGTTGTTTTGCTATAATTAAGGGAGAGAATATTATTCTTCATTTCAAATCTAAAGGCTTAGGTTGTGGAATGTTAACAAATTTAGTCAAGGATACATAGTGCGTTCTCAAAATTTCGATTATGATTATGGCATCCATCTTCATAATTCGAATTATATGAACGTGATACATAAGATATTATGACAGAAGATTAATAAAGTATCGTATCTTTATGTAAGACGTTATGCATCGTGTCCCATACGCTTCGGGTATAGGATCGATTGCAAATGCTATAATATTTGACGATTCTAAAATTTTCCAAATGTCTAGCGCATTAAGAGGGAAAAAGGACAAGAATCGGTTTTGACTAAGATAATTAAACAACTATCAAAGGATGATCCAAAGCTCGTTGAGGATTGGTCGCTTGTGAGTAGTTGGAAGTATGGTATTGGATGGACCATAACGACATTATTATGAATAAATAAGATTTTATTAAGAATGAGTTGTCATATGGCAAATATGGAAATGTTTCCATATTGGGAGCTGATTATTGAAAATCTATGTCTGGATGAGAAGCTTTTATGCAAGAAGGATGTTCAAAGGAATGCACTTTGAGTGAGAGACATCATATCTGTAGAATTGTTTCTAATAGCGATTGGCACTACTAGAAAAACAGCCTTTTACGACGCTCATTGTGCGTCGTAAAAGGCTAAGACGACGCGTAAATGCGCGTCAAGGAAGGCCCTGTCATAAAGAGAGACGACGCGCATTTACGACGCTCATTTACGACGCGCAATTACGACGCACGTTTACGACACGCAATGCGTATCAAGGAAGGCCCTATCATAAAGGAAGACGACACGCATTCGCGTGTCGTAACCTTACGACGCGCGTGTTAATGACACGTAATGCGTATAAAGAAAGCCCCTGTCAAGAAAGGCCATGTCATAAATGAAGATGACACACATTTTTGCGTATCGTAAATTTAAATGTTTAGAAAAAATATTATTTATAGATTTACTTATTTTCAAATTAAATTTGTATTTAATGTTTCATAATAGAAAATAAAATATAATATACAAAAAATAGATTCCATTGCATAAATTTAATGTCATACAAATAATCGTTCCATGGAAAGATAAAACAAATCAATAGAAGTTGTAACAAAAATTTACAAACTAATTACATAGAAGAAATATGAAAAACTTCAAATCCCTGAGATTAATAGTTCTAACAAAAGCTTCACATGAGATACATACAGTTGGACCAGTAAGCTAGGATGTTCCCGAATCGACAACAGTAGCTAGCACAAGAACACATACACGATATCTTCTGCTAGAATTCACAACTATAGTTGCAGCCGTGCTCCTTCTTCTTCTTCTGAACTCATTTCTTGCAACCATTGCTGTAAGCCTAGTCTGAATGGATACAACAGGATGTAAATGCTTGTATGATGTTCTTCCTGCACCTCCTTAAATACTTTTAAAGGACATGAAAAACATAACTACCAAGGGCAAAGCCAAGGGCAGGAGATTCTCTATTCTAATGGACATCATAATGTAAATAGTAAATAGTATATACCATTTCAAGATCATTGTCCATATTTGCCTTGTCAAGGATAACCACAAAAGATCAAATCTTGATAGAAGGGTTGGAGTTCTACGTAGATCATATCTCCCCCTGAATCATCAAACAAAACATTCAAAACACAATTTAAGGAATAGATGTAAAGATAAAAATACCACTATTGCTCCAGCTTTCTCCAAAACTACAAAACACAATAAAAATTATGATCAAAGAAAGTGATTATACAAGCATCCAATCACGAATATAGCATTGCGCTTTTATATTTTTCCTATTAGAAAATAGCACTCTGAAAAATCTACCCAATTTTTCACTTATTGGGACATTGTACTGTGAAAAACCTACTCAATATAGCAACAAAACAAATCTTTATTACCTGAGTACACTGTGGTACCCGTAGCACATACCGGTTCCTTTCGTGAATCCACTTAGGTTGATCTATCCGGCATGCAAAATGGCTCTAACAATTCTCTGGTTCACTCTCCACATTTCTTCACCAACATCATCATCTTTAGCAATCCATGGCTGTAATTCTCTCTCAACCTAACAATCAAAACAACATAGATTCAATTTTTTTTTAATATTGTAATAAGAAGAAATGTTAGGATAATGTTAGGATAATTTTTTTGACATCCATACCTAAGGAATACAAATTAATCCCTAGCAACCAATCTAAAGAACTGATTTTTGTTATTGTATATAGCTCTTCCCTCTGCAACAGTCTATCAATAACACATAAATTAAAAAAAAACTCTTTTGCTTTTTCAAATCTTTATTTACCTGAGCCCAACCGGACAATCAGTAACAGCATCAACAGACAACTCACCGGTATACCTAACAAATTGTAATACTAGTAAATAATGTAAACTGCAAGTTTCTTAAATAAATAGATTTTCACATATAAAGTGTTATCACTTTTAATTACTCTTTCAATCATTAGTCTCAGATTAATGTGTGTACACAATATTAAAAAAATCAAAAATCAAAATGCTTAAAGTTGTTTTCTTCTTCATATAGTTCACTAAGAAGCATTGTGCATACATATAAATGTGCATACGTATAAATGTTAAGATGATAAAATAAATTTAAAAAAAAATACCTTTACTGACACTGCATCCAAGATTATTGCTAACACGTAATGGATCAATAACATTAAAATGTTTGGAAACAAAAGTTTGCCCTTGGTTGTCCTGACCACCAGGAAAAACAGCATATAAAGAGCTACAAGCATCAAGAAATACTTTGTTCAACAACAATTCTCCACTGTCTTTACGAGGTGGCTCAGCTACAATTTTATAAGAATATGTCCACATCAGCATAAAGTCAAACATTGACTTCTGTTAATTATATTATTGAGAAGAAACTAGAAACATCATCATACACTATTACCAGTCACATCTGGAAGTGGGCTTACTGGCACAGGACCCCATAAGTTAACACAAAAGTTTTCCCAGTCAAAATTACTAACGAACTCCAGAAAACGGTAAAGTACCTGAAAATGCAGTGAGAGCATTCATAAACAAAGGTTCCAAATACATACCTGTAAAGGGTATGTTTGTAAATTGTGTGTTAAACAACCTCAAGAGGTCCAACAAAAGAATTCTTGAAAACATGGAATAATGTTGGTGTTAATCCAAACCAAGTGAAAGCCATGTATTTTATTCAGGGGCAATTCAGTCTTTTTGTTAGGAGTAATGGGGTATGACCAAGTAAATAGCCACGTTTGGCTCCAGAAAGTTAGTAAGCAGTCTTTCTAGGATAATTAGTTGCAAGTATCTTATATAAATATCCTTGTAATCGATTGATCATTGTAAAGGAATAAAACACAGAAAAATTGCCCTGCATCTTCTCTCACTCTTTTACTCTGTTTTTGTTGTGTGAAACAGGGCCTGAACCAACATATGTAAAGAACCAAAGTCTCAAGGGAATAAGTTGATATGAGCCCATGGTGAACACCAAGTATGCGGCTCTCATAATAACACCAGGCTTTGATTAGTATAATGCTCCTCTTAAACAAATGGTTATGGTTTATCATATTATCAACCTCCTCAAGAAAGCACTTTATAATCTACCATAATGTTTTCAACAAGGCACTTTATAATCTTCACCTGTAGTTAAACAAACCATAAAGAAATCAGCTTGTAAACAAGTTGAGAAAAAAGATTGATAAGGGGGTGTACCTCAATCAAACACAAATTAAAATTTGCACAAGGCACTTTAATTTATTATTACCAACCATTTAAATCCCCCATTCTTTGCATTTATCAATACATTTGATTGCCAAAGCAGCCTCCTCTTGAAGCTGAAACTCACAGAAAACATTAGGGGTGTATATGTCTTTTGTGTTCTGGCATATAAAAAATGATAAGGGGGTGTACCTCAATCAAACACAAATTAAAATTTGAAGGGTAAATTAGTAGCTTCTTCATCACTGCATACTTGTATTATGGACGGACAATCAATCACCTCTTAAGTTACCTAAATGCTTTGCATTTGAACTCATCAGCAACGGTTTGTCATCATAACCTCCAAACATATCTAAATGTGATACCTGATATTTCTCAGTTGTATGATATTGTAAAGGTGAAACACTATTTGTAAAACCTGAATTATGTCTGTCAAAGTTATCTACATAATCAAATTTCAGTTCTTTGTAGATATTATTTGAAGGTCCAGTCATAAGGCCATGAGATTGTTCACTAGCACATTCCTTATTCATTGTTATGCACTTCTTTTCATATTGAAAAAACATGTGGACTAAATTCATAAGTGTCTATAAGGTTCTACTTATAAATCTTTCTATTTTCTGTTTTTGTAGTGCAAGGCATAATATAAACCTGGATAGCAGCAGTTAAAGCATGACCAATGTGTAGAGCTCCAGTAACATTAGGAGGTGGAAGAACCTGCATTTACACATAAACAAGACATCCATAACCAAATTACATTAATCAATGGTTTTTTACAAGCCACAAGCCACAATCCCAAAATCAATCTGTTTAAAAAGGTCTATAGAAACGTCACTGTTTATGAACATTTATAGACACGAAATAGCAGAGAAAATCACAAGAGACTCGTGATGGTGAAAGGAGGTTTAGAACTAAAACTCAGAATCTGTGATTCCAAAGTCATGATAGGCTCTGTTTTATTTTCAATTCCATTTCCATCCATATTGTCTGTAACAGCAGGAACTCATTGGAGGGAAGCTTCTAACGCTTATGGAAGCCTTAACAAAACCTTTCGCCTCTTCACCATCATTTATGTTTTTCTCTTTTGCTTATAGAGATGCTTCCATAAGCACTGATAAGCCTCACTTCTACTCTCTAAGCATCTCAAACTATGCAGGTTTCAATGGCGATTTCCTTATCATTCCACAGTCCTCACTTCTACTCTCTAAGCATCTCAAACAATGACACTTGTGAAAACCTAACCGACATATGTCATTGAATTAATATAATTTAGCACAGAAGATTGTATCTTGAATAAATGGAATTTTGGTTTAGGAAAAGGTGAAACATCCGAACCCTAACGCACCTAAGAAATCAAACAAGAAGAATTAAAATAAGGGAGAAGGAACAAAGCATACCTGAGATGCTTAAAGAGTAGAAGTGAGGGCTGTGGAATGATAAGGAAATCGCCATTGAAACCTGCATAGTTTTTGAGTTAGGGTTTTCACAGGAGAAGATGAGAAGATCCAAAATCGAAATCAAAGCTATGAATAGAGGAGAGATTAAAGAAATAGAAGAACAAAAACATTAGGAAGAGAGAATAAACATAGCATATCTTAGTCGCGCTAGGGTGTGGAAATTTGAGCAGTCTCTGACGAGGTCACATGAGCCCGAGGTCGCCGGAGGAAAATACCCCTAAGGTCGTTGAAGGAGAAGTGAGCAAAGATGTTGCCGACGAGGTGAGGCGAGATCATCGATCAATTGTTGCAGAGGCCAGAGAGCACCAAGTGTTTCCGTTCTTGAAAAAAAGCCCTAGTCCCTGCGATTTTGTGGAATTTAGTAGTATTATCCTTGCTTGTCTTCTTCTTTTCTTCTTAAATCTAAATAACAATCTCTATGAAATCGCAGGTTGGCTTTTTAGGTTAGAGAGAGAGAGAGAGAGATAGAGAGAGAGAGAGAGAGGAAGACGAAGAGGAGCGGGTTTTAATTTTCACATGGAATAGGCGGAGTTTTAATTTTTGGGGATTTCATTTCCCCCTTTCAAGAACGTGCGTTTTGAGTAAAACATAAAGCGACATTCACAGAGGGCGCACATTTTAGATAAAGTGCCCTCCGTGTTTTTATTTTTTTTACATGAGACACTAATCTAAGGGCACGCAATAATGCGTGACATAAATCCTTAAATTTTTTGAAGAGATGACACTTTTTTAATATCACTCCCTTTTGCGTAACATAAATCACCGAGTGTCGTGGTTTGCGCGTCGTTAAAGTCTCTTTTTCTTGTAGTGTGGCCAAGTCTTGATGATTTTGAGCTATGACTTTACAAAAGGATCAATGCATAAAATGTTAGAATCTAGCATATTCTATAAGTGACAAGAATTTGATATTCTTACACTTGTGATAAAGATTTGGAATTGTGAAATGAGTATGATTGGAAATGTGTTCATTCGATCTGTTTCACAAAGTAAGGAGCATAAGTAAACATTGTGTGCATGCTGAGAGCATGGGACAAGTGTAGTAATAATTCAAGAAAGAAGTTGATTACCCAAAACAACAAATAATGAGTAATCAATATGGTGATTAAATAAAATGTTTTATTTATACCCAGAGTTTTGGGCCATACGGGATTAGTATTGTTCTTGTGTTTCACTTTGCATGTTTTGACTTCCTGAATAATTAATTATTTCAGAATAATCAAATTATTCGAACGGACCACAGTCGTTCACATGTTTGAAGTAGGTATGAATGAAGACTGTCGTGAATTGGTGTGTGGATTATCTAAAGTGTATTAGACATAAGCAAATGTTTGCTGCAATGTTCATGACTGCTTATGAATATGATTTCAGCATTGGATTAAACCCACGCTCACTTGGATCACTTCATGAATTGTATCATGAGTGATTGGTGAGACGATAACATCTTATATACTTGAAACCGAGATGTGTGAGTTGTATCTTGCGAGTCGGTTACACATTAATAATATGTAAACGCACCAGTAACTTGGTGTTATAAAACATATTGTTGTGTGTGATTCGGTAAGTGAGTGAAAGCAAGCATTGAATCAAAGTTTATCCGTTACATTTATCCAATGTAGGATGAAGGCAATATCTAAGGGCCCCTCGATGATTTAGTGATGACACCCTAAGCGCTTGGCCAAGTCGAGACTAATTTGATGTGTTCAATTGTAGTTTGTTGTCAGTCGTCATAAATTGGAAATCGGGAAACAACACATAGACTGAGAGAATGATTTCAATCCATGTCTCACATCTATGCGATATCAAGAATGGAGGAATATATGATCCCTTATCTAAAGGACACGCTTCTGATAAGATCAGAGTTGACAGCAGCTTTTGAAAGCTACGATTGCTAATCAGGATCTAAAGTCATACGCAGAATAGTTATTAGACTTATCCAAGTGGGATACTATTGGATTAGTGTCTAAGTCCATAACTATTTTGGTATGTACTTGACCCGATTGTGCATGGTCCTTTTGGGTTGCCTTCACACTGGTGACTAGACATGATGATTGTTGAGGAGAGAGGCTAGTTTTTTGTTACGAATAATAAATTAGGGTATAAATATGATTTTTTAATATATTATATGAATAATATATTAATTTGGAATCATATTATTAATTAGTATTTAATCAAAAACTAATTTAGAATTAATTTTGGGATTAAAGGAACTGGCTGAAAGTGCAAGGGCTATTTTGTAATTATTCAATAGTTGAGGCTTTGGGCCATTGGATCACCTTTATTAAGGCTTGAAAAAAAATTCCTAGAAGGATCTAGGAGTTTTCGTCCAAGGTCTTAAGGAAAGGAGTCCATGGACTTGCTTAGGCCCTAAGCTAAGGGATTAGGGTTTACACCTTGAAACCCTAGTTAGCCTTAAGTATAAATAGCACCCTAAGGCACTAAGATTTCGTCCAAGCCTTGGGAAACCCTAAAAGGGACGAAATATAGGGCAAGATACCTTTCTCTCCTCTCTCCCATATTCATTCTTTCACCTAGTGTGTTTGTGAGCCATTGGAGGTACTACACTTGTGGTACTTGCTTTCAAAAGCTAAGGAAATTCAAGGAACTAGTTGTTATTGCTATATAACAACAAAAGGTATGTATTCTATTTTTATATATGAATTTAGAAAATAATAGTAGCATGCCATGTTTCTTTTTGTGTTCATAAAGTTGTATAACTAATAGTGAAAACTTAGATCCAACTCTAAGGTTGCATTCACACATAGGACTGTTTGTATAAAACCCATCAGGGTTCCCCTGATATACGTTGACCATGCTCAAGGAATAGGCCACATAGTAGCATGCCATGTTTCTTTTTGTGTTCATAAAGTTGTATAACTAATAGTGAAAACTTAGATCCAACTCTAAGATTGCATTCACACATAGGATTGTTTGTATAAAACCCATCAGGGTTCCCCTGATATACGTTGACCATGCTCAAGGAATAGGCCACAATAGGACGAGTACAAGTCATAGCATACATGATAAATCCTACAACGGAAGCATATGGTACTCGACTTATCTCAGCTATCTCAACGTCCATGCTTGGGCTCTGAGTCTTAGTCAGTCTGGTGTTACTCTGGATCGGTAACTCTCCTTTATTGGAATCCTGCAAGCTGAACCTATTCAACACTTTATCCAAGTAGGTACTCTGACTAAGTCCAAATAGTCTTTTACTCCTGTCTCTCAAAATCCTTATCCCTAGGATATAGGGAGCTTCTCCAAGGTCCTTAATAACGAAACACTTCCCAAGCATGGACTTCACTTCCTACAGAGTTGAGATGTCATTTCCTATGAGCAGTATGTCATCCACATACAATTCTAAAAAGCTAAATATACTCCCACTATCCTTGACATATATACATGATTCCTCTTCACTCCTCGAAAAGCGAAACTCTTTGACTTTCTCATCGAGACAAAGATTCCATCTACGAGGTGCTTGTTTCAATACATAGATGGATTTCTCAAGCTTACACACTCTATTAGGGTACTTTGTATTGACAAAACCCTCTGGATGACTCGTCTAAACATCCTTAGCCAACCTTCCATTAAGGAAAGCGGTTTTGACATTCATTTTCCATATTTCATAATCATGAAATACAACAATGGCTAACATAACCCTAATCGACTTAATCTTTGATATTAGTGAAAAGGTCTCATAAAAATCAACTACCAGAGTCTGAGAAAATCCATTTGTAACCAGTCGTGCCTTATAAGTGTGTACATTACCATCCATCTCAGTCTTCTTCTTGAAGATCCATTTGCACCCGAATGTCTGACGACCTGGTACGCCTCCTTCCGTAGAAGGCTTGGAAACATGGAGTGAAGAGCAAGATCAACCTATGTCGTTTAATGGAGACCAAAGCTTCTACAACTTAAGTGAAGGGGGATCAGCAGACATAGTTCTACTAGTCCTGGTCCATAGAGTTGCTCGAAATGAAATTCAGAGCAGGACGGCTCTCCAGCGTATCGCAGAGGTTGATGCCAATGCAAGAATGCATACCATCCGCACCAATCGCCTTGAAAACACTCATGAGAGATCTGAGAGAGACCATGAGACCCTGCTGCAAGAACTAGCTGAAACTTAAGCTGAAGTCATAGAGCTCCGAGTACGCCAAAGGGTGTACGAAAGATACCTGCTTGATATGGAACGACAACTGGCTAAACAGAGAGTTCACCAGAGAGATGACCGTCGCCAGTAGGATATGCTTTACTTTCTTTTATTGTTAT